TAATAATAAAATTTGCAATGAAAAAATTTTCATCAATTTTCCTTTGATGTCTTGTCCTGACATGATATACACAGACATCAAGTTTATGAAGGCACGGCGCGGACCCTCTAATACTACTAAAATTATTATACTATTGACGTAATTTAGGCATAATATTAGGTAATATGTTTTTTTCAAAGTTGAAAAAATTCATTTTATATGGCCTTTAGAGGTTGGCTGGGCGCCAAGCACAAACATGTTTCCGATTCAATGTTAAGAGTCACCTTTTCTTAGGCCACGTGGGGGCTTAACATTTCAACTGTGAATATATAAAATCAAATACTTCCTCTAATCCTATATATAAAAACTTCACATTTAGAGAGAAGTATGGTCTAAAATATAAATTTTATTTTTGAATCTGTCTAGTATTTATTATTTTTTTATATTTTGCCTTTAGTTGACCGTATTTTTTTATTAATATTTCCTCTGATTCAAAATATAAGCTAAAATTTGTTAGAAGGGCTTGGTTTTTTTAATAAGATAACATTCACTTTTGTCTAAGTATCTAATGAGGTTTTTTTTCCAATTTTACTCCATATATTCTCTTTTTTTTTAATTCATTTATTGTATCTTTTACTTATTGTCTTCATTAATAAGGGCATATTTTGGAGAAAAAATATATGCTTTACATATTTATTGTTTTAAAGTGATTTTAACTAGTTTCTTGATAAACATAAATAGATAAAGTTTAGCTTATATTTTAAACAAAGGGAGTATTAATCCCATATTTTCTCCTACATTATTTTTTTAATTTATTGCCTCTCTCATTTACTCTCTTAATAAATAAGAAAAAATTTGAAAAAAAAAATACATTTCTGACCTATTTATTATTTTTAACTAATTTTAACCGCTAATTCATTAAATATGATTCGGTTATTTAAAGCTTATGTATAGGAACATAGGGAGTACTTTTTTATTTAGATGTTCCCTCATAGTTTTTTGGTACAAATGTTCACATGTATTGTTTCTTAATATATAAGAGTTAGTTTGACATTCAATTTGGTTTTAAATGCAAGACCCTAATTTATTTTATCTCTCATATTTATTAATTTTTTTCAGGGTAATTCTTATAATAATCGCACATGATAAATATTTCATCAAATAATAGTTCCAGGTTTTTAGCTTATTACATGATTAGCAGAGATATTTTAAGAAAGATAGTACCTATTTATTACAAATAACTAATGTAACTAATTTTCTTAATATATTCAAATTAATCAACTAACTCTTATATTAAAAATTCGAGGTAATATCTTTTTATTGAAGATAATCCTATTCGAGCATGTTATATGTTTATAACATGCTTGATTCTTCATATTACAAGGAACTAACTCCTTCTACTAGACTAAAGTATTTTCTTGTTACAAGGAAGGAATTTAGCTTGAAAAAGAAAAGACCATGGAATTAAAAATCAGGCTGGACTGGCCAGTTCCAGTCACCTGTCTGGTCTAGGTGATCACTAGCCGGTGTGGAAAGAACTGAACCGGTGTGACACGGTCTAAACCGGAATAACCCGCTGGGCTAGGCGGGTTACTAGTTTATTTTTTAAAAGAAAAAGGGAAAGGAAAACTCAGTCACCGGATCCCCGTTGTTCTCCTTACCAGCCACTACCATACAAAATAGCTTCTTGCTCGTACTCCCTCGTCCATTCTAGTAGTGAGATCTCTCTCTTGGACCATTGCAAACGCAGACGATACTAAGTTCAAAGTAGAGGGACCAACATGGAAGCTACTGAAAGTCCAAGCTTTAAGGTGTACTCCTTCTAACTTGTGGGTGAATTGAGACTTGGCTGCGCGTGCTCCTCTCTTCTTTGAGGAAATTCAAAGACGCAAGTTTGGATCTGATAATGGGTTTTGGGGAAATGACCGGAGGAAGAAAGTGATTATTATTAATTCATCATTACATTTATTAGAGAAAGAGAAAAGGTATTAATGGAGGAGAGAGATAAAAAAATTTGTCAATCCCGTTAATCATATTGATTGTTGTGTGTGGGGAAAAAAAAACAGAGAGAGAAAAGACTTGATGTGTTGAAGAAGAAAAGAGGATAAATCATAATTAAAATGAGCACATAGTTATAAATTTTGATTAAATTATATTATTTTAATTATTACCAATTTGATCCCGGTTTGATCCTAATCTGATTCACTGACTCTTAATCCTCTATCTTAACTAGTTTATTTACCGGTCTGATTTTTAGTATCTTGGAAAAAACTAAACTAGAGGGATTGAAATCCCAAACTATCGGAGTGTCCGCAAGACATCCAAAAGAGAAGTGTGATACTCCTTTGGCTGAAGCATCAGTTAGAGAATTCTGTTGCCCAGGCACATGAGTGAGAAGAAGTTCCCAGTCGGTGACAATGTTCCCTTCGGAGTACATTGAACTGGTTGACTCAAACCCATCCTCTTCTATGTTGAAAGCCCAACTTTTTATTGGGCCACTATACAAAGGCCGACTCTACGTCAAGGATGATCCAGAACTTCGACATTGTTTGTAGCAACAAATCCTTAAGCCGAAGAAAAAAGAATACTCTTTCAACAGAATATAAAAGAGGTGCAATTTACGTATATAAAAAAATCATCATGCTGCGGGCTTCAATAATTGTCATTGTATTAAATGATTTCAAATATTTATTATATTAACATTTCTTCAAATATTGGAGACAAATCGTGGTAAATATACTGTGTGAATGTAACTAGTATGATCATGCGTTTGTGACAAATGAGAGTACAAATTGATTTGCCAATGGAAGAAGACTGTTAACAGGAAACTTCAAAATATTTTTATACAAATATTTTGTCAACTTTTAGAATTGTGTGAGCTTTAGATCTTATATAAGTTTTGACAAAAAAAGAGAGGATCATATAAATAATTCATTCGCTGTGTCGTCATTTTATTGAGAAAATCAAAAAGTTATCAATGATAAGGAATCCGTTTGTACAGGTTTTTTGAAAATAAAGAAGTTAGATGTGATTGCAGCCTAAAACAATTTTATCCGATTTAATAGAAAATTAGCGCAAAACTGCTTAATGTTAGAAAAATTGCGGGAAAAAAAAAATCCCCTATTACCAAATCTATTATCCAAAAGTACTTAAAAATCTGTTTAAGTACTTAGGCTCAAACTATTTTTCAGCCCATGCAATTTTTCTGCAATTGTATGTAACACATTTTCAATGATATGAAAAATAGAGTCATAAAATATCTCTGACTAATAAAATTTGTGATGAGGTTTTCATCAATTTTCTTTTGATGCCTTGCCTGGCGATGATATATACAGACGTAGAGTTTATGAGGGCACGGCGTGGACCCTCTAATGGTACAAAAATTAGCAAACTGTTGCTGTAAGTTAGGCATATTAGGTAATGTGTTTTTTTCAAAGTTGAAAAAAACCCATTTTACGTGATCTTCAGATTGAAGACAAAGAAGCTACCTAGGTGCCAAGGCCAAACATGTTTCCGATTCTAGATTATGACTGAGTGTCGAGTTTTTTCTTAGGCCGCTTGAGGGCTTACCATTTGAACTATAAATATATAAAATCAAATACTTCTTTATTCAGATGCTCCCTCACAGGATTTTTGGCACAAATGTTCATTCGTATTATCTCCTCTTCTTAATATAAGAACTAATTTGGCATTTAATTTTGATTTTAAATATAAAACTCTAATTGACTTTATTTTTTATATTTATCTATTTTCTTTTAGGTGGTCTTTGTAACGGTTCCACATGATAAATATTGCATCAAATGATAGTTGTAGAGTTCTAGTTTATACACATGATTAGTAAAAATATTTTAAGAAAGACAATACTTATTTATTATAAATAATTAATTTAACTAATTTTCTTAATATACTCAAATTAGTTAATTAGTACTTATATTAAAGATCTAATATATTATATTTTTATTCAAGACAATCTTGTTCGAAACATTATCAATCATGTTACATATTTATAACATGCTCGATTCCTCATGTTATAAATAACTACCCCTTCTATTAGACTTAATTTTTTTTAAAAAACAAGATAGGGACTCGGGCCGGAAAAGAAAAGCTAGATCAGGGGGGCTGAAATCCCAAACTATCAGAGTCCGTAATGCTCCCAGAAGAGAAGGGTGATTTTCGCTCTTTTGCCACAAAGCATCAGCTAGAGAATTCTGTTCCCCGAGCACCCGAGTGAGAAGAAGTTCCCAGCCGGTGACAATGTTCCCTCACAAGTACGCTGAACTGGTTGACTCAAACCCTTCCCCTTCAATATTGAAAGCCCAACTTTTTATTGGGTCACTATACAGAGCCCAACTTTACGTCCAGGATGATCCGGAGCTTCGACGCTGTAGCAGCAGAATCCTTAAGCCGAAGAAAAAAGAACACTCTTTCAATAAAAGAGATGCAATTTATGTATATTAAAAATCATCATGCTACGGGCTTCAATAATTGTCATTGTATTAAATGATTTCAAATATTTATCATATTAACATTTCTCCAAATATTGGAGACAAATCGTGGAAAATATATAGCATGAATGTAACTATATAGTATGATCATATGGATTTGGATTTAAGATTTAAAATATCATATTCAAAATATGTATTTAAAATCCTTTGTTTGAATACTACTTAAAATAAAGAACCCACAAAGAAGAAAAAAGAGTTTTCCCATATGACTTGTCCACATATCCGGATAGCATTGAAAGAGGATGTTTGATATTTACAATAATTACGGTAAATTAGGTATTTGAAATTGTAAAAGAATTTGCTTGAATTTGAATCAAATCCAAATCCATATCCATAAATAAAATTTTATTTACCCAAAGAATGAACCTGGTTCAAACTCAAATCCCTACTATTCCAGCTAGATACAAGCTTATTAAATCCCACATACCACGCACTATCTCTTGACGCCATCAACCAATTTCTTGCAAAATTAAGATGATCTAAATCCATTTACTCAATCAAATCAGAACAAGAAGATTTTCCCAGGATAAAACAAGGATAGAATGAGAGAACATTAATAAAAAGCCCAAGAAAAATGCCGCTCACGACAGCCAAGTGATCAGAGTTCATCATGTTTATCAACACAAACACATATACATGTATATGAGAAATGAATAAAATGATCTTGCAAATATAAATCATTCATGATAGATTACTGTGTAAGTTATAGAAACTAGAAAATACATGTCAGCCTTCCTTTTACATCGGTCAGATGGAGCATCTCATCTTTGGATCTGACACAGTGCCAGGCTTAGCCACCTCCGGATTTGAGCGTATTACTCAACCTACAACAATAGAAAGCTCATAACTTAAATTGCACACCATGAAACTGATCGGTGCGGGAACAGCGCACCAAGTCTGCCAACAGCATGGAAGCTCAGATTTGTAACAAAATACGGTTTCAATCTTATTTGACTCACCAGTCCAGCCCCTCAAAAATTCCTTCGCCTTTTATGGCAGAAGTTTTAAAAATTGCCCATTGGCGACTTTTAATCTTGTGTAGTTCTAAAGCCTCTGTCACCGCGGCATCATCAAGGGCCCCTGGAAGGTCCTGCATAAAACAGAGAGATACATTTACACAAAAATCACATAATCAATTCTTTAATTGTTATATGGGCAAAACGTATGTTGAAGCATATCACTTCTGAATATATAATTGCATCTATCCCCATGAACAATATTAATATTTTCTAGCTCGATTTCATATAGCAAAGACTTCCAGCAGACTAAAATCTTATTGATATAATCTCTTTTGTATTATTCACAAGGTCTTCTTCCGTTTCCCCTTTCTATTTTCTCCTTGACTATGAGAACCCGACAAACAAAATTAACTAACCTGTTTATTTGCAAAAATGAGAACAACCGCCCCTTTAAGCTCCTCCTCCTGATGAAAAGTTCAACAATAAAAAACGTAACGGGTCATATAAGTTGGCAAAGATTAACAGGATACAACACATATCTACTCCAAGGGTAAAGGTCAAGTATGAGGGATAAAAAATAGAGATTATTTGGTATTACTTTCACAAATAAAGCATGCAGATATATGAATCTCAAATAACTTAGAAATGGAAAGTGGTTATTGGGCATCGACCAGTGTGCTTAATGATAGTATCAAATTACTTGGTTACGAAAATAGTTAACACATACTACAGAAACTGCTCAAGCACTCATTTCTTATAACCAAGCCAAGGCTGCTAATAAGAAGCTATTTTTTATTAGTCATATCAGTCTTTCAATTCAGAACAACCGTTTGCAAGTGAAAGCTGCTAAATATAACTACAAGATAAACTTTAAATCCACATTACATTTACCAAAAGCATCCACCTTAGTTACATAGACCAAAATTGCAAATGGGCCACTATTGCTAACAACTTTTACAACGCCTGCCCTGCCTTCCAAGTGATATGCCTCTGTTTACTGGTCATATTTACTTAATAGTTTATGGAATAGACAAGGGTTCACATCATATAAAACATTGCATATGTCTCAAGACTTTAACCATGATTAGCATACCTCCAGGATAGCATGAAACTCTTCCTTAGCTATCACAAGCCTGTCAACGTCACTTGAATCAACAACATAGATGATTGCTTGAGTATTTGGAAAGTAACACCTCCAATAAGGCCTATGGATGAAAAACCAAAATAAAAAGATGTGCTCAAGATTCCAATCGAAAGTTTATTTTCAACAGATCATGGCGAAAAGCAACATAGCCTAGATATAAATTAATAAAATAACAGTTCATTTTTGATCATGCATCCACTTAGATCAAGTGGATCTAACTTGAATGACACAGAAATACTAGTTGATGTTCAGGCTTAATTATATGGCAATCTTTAAAAGTTGTGGCCGATTAATTAATGTATTATACAATAATCTTCTAAATTTCTGCTTGGCAAAACCACATGGTTCGAATGCTCTTATCTATTTCACCACTGTGAGCTCAATGAAGCAAAAGAGAATCCAAAATGCTTACCTAATACTTGTTTGCCCACCTGTTTCAAGAAAAGCAAGCCATCAGAATAAGAAACATTCCTCTTATGTTACAAATGCATGTCAATTCTCATGAAATTATAAGCTTATATTGAGAACAATAAACTAAGATGAAACCAGAGAAGTTCTATAGTTGTCTGAGTTGGCGTATTTATTACTTACTAAAAGGAATAGAAAAAAGACAAGAATAAAAAAAAAGGACCAACGTGAAACAGGACAAAATTATTGCTAGGTTCTTTAAGTCTTCTTAACCTACTAGATTTCCATCAACCTGGAAAAAGAAAAGAATATTCCAAGGTTTCTTTGTATTTTCAACCTATCTGATTTCCATGAACATTTAATGATAGCAATAAAAAAATATACAGAAGGTCAACAGAAGACGAAATGTCATCTCCTAGTTGCTTTATGCGCCGTACTAATATTATCTAGCCCTAACACCGGAAGCTTCTTAAGTCTGGCATCAGCTTGTGCGCTCAATGAGACAGGCTGAGAGCTTCATTGGTTCAATTCGCCAGTCATCTATCTTTCAAGATATATATGTGAAAAGATAGTAATTTCTGATCACTATTTGGACGGACTCAGAAATGCGAAATGGACAATCATTTTGAGGATTCTAAGCTATCGAACTATCATATATAAAATTAAAACCTCCTGGCCATTGTCATTATAAGTCCAATGAAAACATATGCCGGCTATGTCAAGTAAACAAGTTACTTAAGTCCTTACCTAAATCCCAGACTTGAAATTTAATGTTGTTGTATTGCACAGTTTCAACATTAAACCCAATTGCTGCATCAAATAAAAAAATAAAACTGTCAGTAATAACTTCAAATAAGGAAATGTCTAACAGCATATATACAAACTGTCGGTATTCTAATTCTAATTTTCCATATCTTGGACCAAGAAATATGAGAATCGACATGTTGTACATATCTGTTCGGTAGATTGATATGGTTTTAACAGAATGAGTTCCCAGAAATATAACAGGATACGATATGACACTAAAATAAGAATTCACAACTAAAACATCTGCTCTGCAGCTGGCAACCAATGTAGACAAACCAATTATTCAAAAAGAAAGCATGATTTGTCCAGATCTAAAATGAGAGAGTACCAACTTGGAATAGTGGAGACAACTTCGCCCATCTGAAGCCGATCTATAAAGGTAGGACATAAACAACCACGTATCAATTACCCCCAAAAAAAAAATTATCAAAGCAAAATTCACTCAGGGTGGACCAGCACAGAGCTCAGATACATACAGAGAATTGTTGTTTTTCCCGCATTGTCGAGACCAAGAACAAGTATTCGAGCTTCCTTGCTACCAAATAGAGAAGAAAACAATTTCGTAAACACCAAACCCATGTTCCGATTCCGCAGAGGGACAGGCAGAATGCTCTTAGCGCATGAATAGCATTCAGTTCACTAGAAAAACATGCATAAGTGTTTTGAAGAAAATCAGATCAGATCGTAAAGCAGAGCCCTGATGCTCCCTGCCAAATCACGAAAAGCAATCAATGTCAATAAGACTATGATTCTGAACAGCATACAACTGCGAGTGAGGGAGAATTCACGTGCCTGAGGAAAAAGGAGAGGGCCTGCGATTGAATTGCCAGAGGAGGATCAGGATGGAAGATAGAAAAGTTGAGTCTGTGAAGCTTAGCTTATCCGTCTCAGAGGAAAACGAAAACGAAAATGGAGAAGGAAATGGAACCAACGGAATTAGAGGGAACCGGGCAGGATGCTTAATTCCCGGTGCGTTCGGGATCTAGTCACCACTAGTGCGTTGTGGATTATTTAACCTGGGCTGGGCTCGCAAGGTTCCGCTTGACCCGAATTCTTCAATATCTGGGAAATTATTTTTTTCTATAAAATTATTTAATATTAGCTCCCATCCTTAATATAAAAATTAAACAAGAATTGAGTTTGGTTATAAATATAAGAGTTCGATCAATTTCAACGCAGAGAGTTTGCAGCAAGCAGTTATTTTAATGTAAATGATTTAAGCGGATATTCTAGAAAAACCAACACATATTTTTGATAAATAATTATAACTAATTTTTTTAATCTATTTAAATTAGTTAAGTAGACTTTATATTAAAAAGGAAAAGTAGTACATGATTTTATTAAGTTATATCTAAACAATAATTGACGTAATTAAAAGTATATCTCTTTGCATAGTGTTTTTACATCCACGGATGTTTGAATGAAAACCAAACCAGAGTTTTAAAAGTGCTTTTACATTTTACGAAGTAAATATGTGGAGGAGTTTGTCTTGTTTTGAAGAACAGTGCTTTTAAAAAGCACTTTTTCATCTTGCCAAACACCTTTTAAGTTTAAATCCTTCAATTTTCTTGCAGGCAGAGAAAAAAAATCGTTGAAAAGTACTAACGTATATCTCCCAACATAATGCTTTTAATCTTTTTAGGTATCTTTGCTAGGACATTTGGGTTGCACGGTGTAATAAGCTGTTCAATGAAGAGGAAGGTATGGACAAGGATATGGGGAAAACTTCTTTCTTCAGAGCTTCATGGGATAGGGATTTATCAAGAAAGTGCAAGTTCTGCAAGGAAAAAGTTTCGATAGAAGAGTTTCAGAGTAGAAGAGCAAGATAGAGTGACACTGGAAATTGATGGCTCTGTGCTTCCTAGTGGAGACAGCAGTTGTGGAGGTGTTGTAAGGAGTATCAACAATACTTGGATTCTGGGGTTCAGCTGCAAGCTTTCATCGGTCTGCAATTATGTTGGAATAGAGGCTTTCGAAAGATTCTTTTAGCTACTGATTGTATTAACGTTGTTAATCTCATAGGTAGGGGTGTGATAATGACCACTCGTATAAGGATGTAGTGGATGATGCTAGGTTGATTTTTAATAGGAATTGGCAGGTTCATATCAGGCATATTTGAAAGGATCAAAACATTACTGCACACTTAAGCTAAATTCGCCCATAGGTCTTTAGAAATCTTTTACATCTTTAATCAATCTCCACCTCTTATTCAAAAGGCGGAAATTAATGAGAGCATAGGTAGCTGAGTCTTTGTTTTGTTGTAACCTTTTGATTTAGTAGTATACAATTTACCATTAAAAAGAAAAAGAAAAAAAAGAAGTTCTATCTACGAGAAGAGAAGATTAGAAAGAAAAACATTTTTTAATAGTCATAATATTCTTTCAAACTAAATGTGAATTATCATACCCATCAGGATGAACAAGTCAACTTAAAAAAAAAAATTAAAAACATAATTTAAATAATCTTACTAAAATTTTGACGAATCAGCTTAAGAAAACTTGGACTTTTACGTTTTTATTACCGACGGATAAAAATTATTTGACTAATTTAAGTAAATTAAAAAAATTTAGAGTTAATTATTTATAATAATTAAATATTATCTTTCTTAAAATACTAAAATACTCTTACTAATCATGTATTAGTTAAATAAGTTATTAATAATAAATAGGTATTTTTTTAAAAAAATATCCTTGTTAATCAAGTATATTAGTTAGAACTACTATTATTATAAATATTATTCTAAAAAAAAATGAAAGATAAAGTAAATTAAAATCTTATATTTAAAACTAAAATAAAAATCAAACAAATTATCGAAAGTAATAATATAATAATGGTCATTCTACGATTATTGACGAAGAAAGGAACCTTAGAAAAAGCTAAAGCATCATTATTCATGAACAAGTCATATTTATTTTGTCATGGCCTGTGTGCGATCCATAATTTTCTGCCAGAAATCTGTTCGCTAAGCACTTAACTGGAGAAATGTGCAGGACCACGTGGATCTTAGTATTTTCCATGTTTTATTATTAAAAAAAAAAGAAAAGAAAAAAAAGAAACTAGGAAAGCCTAAATATCTGAATCATCACTAAACAAACGATTATCAAAATAAAAACGATGAGACTTCCTACAAAGCAGACTGAAAGATCATCTCTGCTAGCTCCTGCAAAACATTGAACAAAGCCGTATTAAAATTTATGCCATAGTTATTACTGTGCATAGGACAAATAAATTTAACAGGCAAATTTCACCCAAACAAACAAACAAATGAACAGAAAGACCACTCTCAGTTTCTTCTCTTCAGCAAAAGAAGTACATAATATGTGCAATACCTGTTTAGCAGAAGGAACCTTTGGTTCACCCATTTCTTTGACTTTTTTCTCAAGCGTTTCAAAGTCAGCTTTACCAGCCTATTGCAACAAGAATATCTTAAGTACGAGGAGCATTCAATGAAAAGGAAGGGCCAAATTGAGGGGAAGGAAAGGAAGTTACCTCTACTTGAGCCCCTAGTTCAGTGTCAAAACTCTGATATCGCTTGCGCACGAGTTCAGCCAGAGAACCATCCTTTTTTTGAGATAATGGAAAACATTTAGTTTCACTCGTAGGATAATACAAATGAATTATGAATGTGAAACTTCCAAAAGAATAGTCCACACCCCAGAAATATACTATTGTTACATGGGTCTACATCAAATTACCTCGATTAACTTGGCTGCATTCCGGAGGCCACGTGCCATGGTATCCATTCCAACAATATGCGCAATGAACAAGTCTTCAACATCTGTGCTCTCTCTCCGCCTAAAACATTGTTTTGTGTAGAAAATTAGAAAGAAAATTAACGAATTTGGCACCACAATTTTATCAGATATGTATCAACCCATAAGGGAAAAAAAAAACTTCATGGTGCCAGAAGAAACTAGGCTACTCACAGTTTTGCATCGAAGTTGAATCCACCAGGTGCAAGTCCTCCCTGGCAAAGACAAAAACAGACAAGAATCCAGACAAATGAGCTTGCATTTCTAATGACAAGGTTTATCGCATGTCATGATGCAACTTAAGAGACGTGTTTCATACATTCTTGATCACACTGAGCATAATCATTGTGGCCTCTCCAACGTCTGTCAAAAACTGATCTGTGTCCCAACCTGTAGTACAAAGGCTTCACATTACAACTTTCAATCTCAAGGGTTATGATGGCACGAAGTGAAGTTCTGTGGTAATGTACAAGAAAATATTATTTTCTGGATTGAAAGAGAGGATACATACCAACTTGAGGATCACCAGTATTTGCATCAATATTTCCCAACAAACCATTAATTCTTGCTGTTTCAAGCTCGTGATGACAGCTTTTGTGATGACAGGGGTTGAAGGTTTACAGACAAGTCCACAGTTTCAGTAATGATTATCATATTGAAAATAGCAAATACCATCAAGAAACTACGATACTTCAGTGTTTGATTTACCTGTGACCAGACAGGGTTGCATGGTTGCACTCTATGTTCAGTTTGAATTCTCCTACAGAAGAAAATGGAATCAGATCAGATTGAGTATATAGTAGGCTGGGGCTAACATAGTTCTCAACATGACGTGAAGAACATTTTAATTATAATAGAAGACTCTCATGCTTGAACCCTTGTTTTGTTAACCTCGCTTCAGCAGTTAGTCAGTAGAAAACCCGACTTGGTTCTCTATTTTCTTTAAACAAGTATCGGCCAAAGAAATAATAGAATAAACCGTCTCAGCCCTTTTGAAAGAAGGCCAATCCAGTCATTAACTCGGCAGTAGTGGGAGAACAAATTCATGTGCAACGACCATATCAAGGACAAATTACTAAGCACAACAAAGCCGTAGACTAAAGCATTTAGATCACACGAGATGAAATATAGCAGGAAATGGATAAGAAAGTAATATCTCTTTGACATCAAAATGTGAAACCTACAGTAAACATAAAATTTATCATGGAAAATATTTGAGAATCCAACTTCTTGTTCTTGAGTAAAAGCCAATGAAATAAGGAGACAAGTGAAAATTACCTGTAAGTCCATATTTCCGCAAGAAATTGGCAGTGGTTGCAGCATCCCAATCATATCTAAAGGAATACAACGTTGTGATTTAGTTAAGATGTGAAAAAAAAAATCCCGATTTAATAATAGACAGGGAAGAAACTTACTGATGTTTTGTAGGTTCTTGTGGCTTCGGTTCAATCAGCAGTGTCCCTGACATCGGATAGGGGGGGGGGGGGGAACCACGTAAGGAAAACGTAATCCATGAGAGAGAGACACAGAAAGAGGGCGGAAGGAAAAGTAAAACAGATATGAAAAGTCCCACGAAAGTTTGGTATGATAGGCAAAACGAAAATTGAGCAGCTGTAAATATTTAATTCGTAATTGGATGATTAGCTGTAGGCTCTATTGTTTTAATGGTATACGATGGTTAAGCTACTTAATTATTGGTAGGAAATTTCAAAGAAGATACCTTTAAATCCAATCTTCTTTTTGTAAGCAGCAGCAGCTTCAAGAAACCTGGCCTGTAAGCAGATAAATTAACAGACAACAACATGGAACTTATTAGAGACAAACTATTCAATGTTTGGCATAGGCATCCATAAATATTAAATATCAAAAGCGTAATCCTGAAAGTATATCAGTTCATTAGATACGGACCACAAGGAATAGACATGCTTTTCAAGAGATTACGCATCTTGTGGAGTTAAACAAATTCATTTTCCCCAAAGATACCCAGTTTTGGTGCCATATGAATTTTTTCCCTTCTTAAAACTTCTCTTTATTGCAATCATTATGTTTTGTTTGACTTTCACATGGCAATGTCTCCATTCTTCATTTCCACTGACTTTTACTTTCACTTGAAGCAATCCTTCTTTTGTTTTATTGATAACCAAATTCAAGGATATCCAATGAAAATAGTTTGCAGATAGTCAGAGACACACCAGATGATTAAGTTCCCGTTCCATGTCTGTGTTCAAAAGAGATTGGTAACCTTCACGGCCGCCCCAAAAGACATAATTTTCACCCCCCAAGTAATGGGTGACCTACAATATGTATATGTATCAGTACAATAAAGTCGGTTCCAAAATAGCAATGGCACCTGTATATGTAAACACAGAAAGGTACCTCCATTGCCTTCTTCACTTGAGCAGCAGCATATGCATACACTCCTAATTCAGAGCTGCGAGGCAATCCATTTTGTGAGCCACGAGTCCATGAACAAGAATCATATATGTCAGGCCATATATAAGTTACCTGGTTGCAGCACCATGCATATAACGGGCATGCATAAACAACTGAGCTGTTCCCCATAAAACTTTCTTGTTATTCTGTCTCGACAAAGAAAATAGTTATCACAAGCATAAGGGTGTTTTGCATAATGAAATATACATGTTTGAACATAATTTGCGGAAAAGTGTGCTTGACCTAAAAAACACACAGGATTTGAACAAAATCAATACTATATGGAGTTTTGTGACGTCAGGTTAAAAACAATAAAAGAGTCTACATCTTAATAACGTCCCAGTCATATTATAATTTCCTTGTATCACACAGGACATCATGTCCACAGAAGTTATACCTGCCAATGACGCATGTAGAATTTAATTAAAATCAACTTGTTTGATAATGTCAAAAAATACCTCTTTCTGGAGCTTACTGGCAAGGGCCACCACTTCATCTAAGTTTGCATTAGCTTCCTGAGACAAGCAGTACAAATCTAAAGACTCAGAAAGCAGATTAAAACCTTAAATAGGATAGCAGACAGTTACTCAATAAAACTAATTCCAACAACTACAATCATAGTTGGAGAGTTCTATTTTCAGGAATAGAAAATGAAAAAGCATAAGCCATTCCCTCCAGCATGTGACATAGAAAATCTTCACAGGGTGCTCACCTCAAGAGTTTTCCCATCAGGGGCTATGTCCCTGTCGTGGAAGCACCACCAATCCACTCCAAGCTTGTTTAGGAATTCAAAATTAGCTCTCACTGCGCGAAATAAGAGAAATCAGTCTCTCATAATATATGATTATTTGAATGAATATGAAGTATATCAAAATGAGGGTCATCTGGTAACGTACTTCTTCTTTTAGCCATATTTAATGAATTAGTACCATCTTCCCATGGCCAAAATTTGGTTTGTGCCCCAAATGGATCACCACCTGTTCCACGGAAAGTGTGCCAAAATGCAACACTAAATCTGAACCAATCCTGCCATTCCAGAAGGAAATTCAGTGAGAAGATAATAGCATGAGGATGATCAAAGTATTAATTAAAATAAACATGAATAGAAATAAAAACCCAACCTTCATTTTCTTCCCAAGAATTTCCTCCTCTGCATTGTAATATTTGAATGAGAGTGGATTCTTGCTAGAGGGGCCCTGAAATTAAATACACAAATGTAAATACAAACAAGAATTATCATTTAGATTTCTCCAGATGACCTTTTCATCGACAACACAGGGGAAGGCTAGTTCTTTTGAGGCCAATCAAACTGTATTTCATTTCCCCCTTTCTAGAAGGCAGCCAACGTCTTCAGTGGATAATTGAGAGAGGGAAAATTTCTAGAATTAAATTAGACCTACTTTTACAGAAGATTAATCACTTATTCATCCTTACAAAAAATATAAGTAAGCCATGAGTAAATCTACCTCATATTTAATTGTGGGGATGCCGGGGAAAAATTCCCCTTCCCACCCATCTGGATCGCCACATTCATCAGCGTTCTCAGCAGGGCAAGTCTGCGGCTGCGCAGAAATCTGCTTGCCGACGATGATTGGAAAAGAAAAAAAATGAACATCCATACAGAGAAATAATTATTAACAAGAAAAAGCATAAATAGTACTGCTTCATACCACTGCATAAGAAAACACATTCAAACAAAGAAGAAGAAACAATATTTTCCCAGCTTTCATCATCCTGGTTTTACGCTGACAACTGCGGGGAAAAACATTAAACTGTGAGCAAATATAAAAAAGACAGATGAATTCCAGATTGTCCGTGGGATTGTTACATAAGAGCTGAAAACAGGTTTCGACATTGCATCATAAACAAAAAGGAGAACGCTTTCATCCGAAAAGTAGGGGAACGAAGAGAATGACTTACAGACTCCGATCCTAGGACGAACCGAACTCGACTACTTCCTACTGGCGAAACCCAAGTGATCTATGACTAATATATACAGGTTGACCGATTGTGGAGTTACAATTACTAATTATTATATAATATATAATTATTATATATAATAAAATATTGGATTATGACGGCCATCCGATTTGGATTTGGATAAAGATCAACAAAAGATCAGATATGAAGGATATTTTACGTGGCAATTACTGACGACATTAAAAACATTGATACTTTGCCAACGTTTCAACAGCTATCACATTTTTGTATCCCTATTTAATACTAGTATATTTTTTTGACCTGATAAATATATTTTTATAGAAATGTCGCTTTTATGTTGGAAAAATAGAAAAGAACCGTAGCTTTTAAAAGTATTTATGAACGAAAAGATATAGGTTGTGGATGAGAAGTTAACTTTTTAAGAAATTAAGAATATATGAGTTGTTACTTGTTTGATTGATTTTGTATTTCTTGATAAGATTCAATTTTTTTTAAAAAAAATTATATTTACTTGAAAGACATAAATAGTAGGAAAATAGAACTTAAATAAGTTTTGCTCAAGATATTATTCATTAAATACCGATAAAATGTGAGGTAAGCTTTTTTTTTTTTTGTGGTTTTCCTAAGCACAGATATTTTCATATTGGAGTTAATCTATCATTAAAGCATGACCCTCGAGTATTATCTCTTTTTTCTTAGAGAAAAATGGTACATTAGAGCATGATCCTAGCCTGACGCATTGATCCTCTTAGTTATGGGTCAACTTTGGATGAGTAGGCCAGTTTAGGCATGTTTCGGAAAGCCCAATGAGTCCAAAATAACGGAGTTCCCCGAGCTAATTTGTGGCCCCAATAATGTGTCTCACGTGGCAGCAATAAACTAATCACTCCCTTTACACCAGTAGGGTTAGGTCTAACAAAAGAGACTAATTTCTCATAATATGATGAATCAAAGTTTGAATTCTTATTAGGAGAGTTGTTCATATTTAGTGCCCGACAGTGTTTCGAATAGGAGCCTCCAATACAACGATTCCCATGCTTTTTTTTAAAAAAAAAGACTAATCACTCCCTTTGTACCCAAAAAAAAAAATATTCCCTTTGTACGCAAAAAGAAATACAAGTTAAGGGGAAAAAAAAACAAGTCTTAAAGATATGAACTGAGAAATCTAAGATGTAGGAGGGCTGTTTTGAAATTTTGGGAATGGATGGTCAGGGAGAGGGTGGTTTGGCACTCAATCATTAGATGCGTGTAGTAAGATCTACCGTTTGGTAGGAACACAAACTGTGGGGCTTTCCGTTTTCTGTTTTTTTTTTTTTTTTGGGTCTTTAAGAAAAGTGAGGGAGTTTTGGGTGGGGATTTGTGAGAATAATGATAATGATGTGGCCTTGGGCATATAAAGCCAGGCGGGTAACTCTAGAACGTCCCATGGTGGGCACAGATGTTTGAAACTTCCTATAATATGGACAAACCACAACTCACGGGCTCAACTTAAGCCCTCCCCCCTCCCTCCTTCGCACTCACGAGACGCCTCTTTCCTCTCCCCAACATTATAACTATCCTTCTTATTTTGCCTATCTGCCACGCCGTCTTCTGCGTTTCCCTATCACTCCCCCCACAAAATACCACTTTACCCCCGCTTTAACGCTATTCACTTCACATAACTTTGCGCGTGCTCCTCAAACCATACTCACCGCAACTGGCCCTCCTCCTCTCACGCATCTTCACTATTCAGCCCCATTCCTCACCTGTTGATCCGACAAATAAATCACAAGACTCTCCATTTTAATGTTTGCCTTATTTTTTTTTTATTATTTAAACAGCATAAGCTTTCATGTTGATTTTTTTTTCGAAGACAATTATTGGCCACATTCTTATTAAATTCCCCAAAACTCTACAGGCGCCAGCCTACGTGTATAAAAGGAAGGTCACAGACCTCAAATTTTAGTGCCCTGTAAGACTTGCAGTAAACATGAAAGCCCATTTGGTTTTCTTCTTCATTCTCTCTGTCATCTTCGCTTCCACTATCACCCTCTCACTAAACCCTTCTTCTTCTTCTTCTTCATCAGAGCTGCAGAAAAGACCAGACAACCAGACCATATACCGAATCTCGAAGCAGCTATGCTGGGGTTGCTTAACAGAGTCCATAGAATTCTTGTTCGCGCACAACCTCGTAAGAGCAGCGAAGTGGGAGTTTCCATTGATGTGGGACTTCGAGCTGGAGAAGTACGCGAGGTGGTGGGCGGGACAGAGGAAGTCAGACTGCAAGCTGCAGCATTCCTTCCCGGAGGACGACTTCAAGCTGGGAGAGAACATATACTGGGGAAGTGGCTCCTCGTGGACTCCGACGGACGCCGTCAGAGCCTGGGCCGGCGAAGAGAAATATTACACTTATGCCACTAACACGTGCGAGCCTGGCCAGATGTGTGGCCATTATACTCAGATAGTGTGGAAGACCACCAGGAGGCTCGGCTGCGCTAGGGTTGTTTGTGACGACGGGGACGTCTTCATGACTTGCAATTATGATCCAGTTGGGAATTATGTCGGTGAACGGCCATACTGATATAAGACCAATATAAGTAAGCTTTCATTTCAAGTTTGATTAGAGGGTTAATTAACTGCGTTTAGATGTTAGTGTTAGCTAGAATCTAGTGGGTGTGTGTGTGAATTTGTATGTATTTATATACTTGTGGGAGGTGGAATGAGGGATTAATTTCGTCAACTGATTTGTGGTTTGAGCAAAATAAGTGCATAAACGTAAAAGGGTGTGAATTAGGTATTTGATGGATTTTAGATGTGAGATTGAACTCTCTGTATTGCATGGGTCAGGTCTGTAATAAAATAATACTGCTATATTTAGATCCTGAAAAGCCAGAACAATTACTTTATAGAGTCTGACTGAAAAAGTTGTCTTCACTTCTATAAATCAGGCAGCAAGATTCAAGACCAGTACTCCATGAGCATCTGAATATTGTAAATCTCAACTGCTTAAATTTATCATCATCATCATCATTATTAGTTTTTTTATCTTATTATATATGCACGATTTAAAATAAAAAAAAATTTTTATAACTTTTTTAAAAACATAAATTTATCGTTTAAAAAATTAAAATTAGAACATATAAATTATCCCTCCAACTCCAAATGCTAGCTAGTTAAAGAAATTATTTAATTTTTCGAATCTTTATGAGTTAGCTAAATTGCATGCATGTCTCTAAAAAGACTATTTCAATCACATGCGTACATTTCAAAAAAGAACAAGGGGAAAACGACGATAAATCCCATGTGGCCCGGAATGCCTCTTGCATATCCATAAGTTCTTTTGTTAGATTTTTTCCCCGTGTGAGTTGGGTCATGAAGGCTCATCAAAACTAAATTATATTTTCAAGCTCAAAAAATATTTATAAAAGTATTTATAAATCGCTGTATCAACAAGATCCTTATATTAGTAGAAAATTTAAATTTATGACCTTATAAGTTACAAGTCAGCACCTTATCAATTAAACTAAGTTTTGTTGAATTTTTTGTGCAACTTTTTGGGTTTTGTTTACGTGAGCCCGTAATAGCAAGCCCAGTCAGCTGAGATAATGATATTTGCTACTACTTCATGTTTTTAATATCAAAACTATTTGACTAATTTTAGTAGATTAAAAAATTAGTTAAATTAGTTATTTAATAAAAATATTTTTTTTCAAAATATTTTTACTAGTCAAGTGTATTAGGTATAACTACTATTATTATAAGGATTATCTTGAAAAAAATAAGACAAATATGAGAGACGAAATAAATTGAGATCTTATATTTATAACTAAAATAAAAATTAAGTAAGTTCTTTTATTAAAAACCGGACTGGAGGTAGTATGAATTATTAAGAGTTTTAACTAAGATAACGTAACAAAGAAAGAATTTCTTAAGACCCAACTTAAGACCCAATCATACCCAAAAAAAACACCCAATCATATTATCGTCACGCTGCACATGGCTTGCCTGCGAACTCTTCGTTTGCGAACGTGTGTGGGGGCCTATGGGGCCGGTTTGACATAAGTATAAAATTACCATCCTACCCATACGTCGTTGTGCGTTAGTGTTATGCATGACTGAAGTAATAAATGATGCGTGCGTGATGTGGAGTGTTAAATTTAAAAAAATGTTTGGATGAAAGCCAAACAATGACTCTAAAAATATTTTTAAAGTATACAAAATAAATATGTGAAGGAGTTTATTTTATTTTATTAGAAAATATTTTAAAAAAATATTTTATCCATCTTACATTTCGATGCTATACACCAAAAAAAGCAAATTGAAATCAAATATATTAATAGATAATGATAATCTCTTAATGAAACTCGTTACTCTAGTTATATTTTTTTAATTATGTATAGATTGCAAGCTCTGATGGGAGCAAAATTATTTGGTAAAAATTCATAACCGAATTTTCTTGAGGGACCACGTGGGCTGCAGCAAAATGATATGGTGGATTTACTAAACCAGTTGGTGCTTGAGCTGACAGAAGCTATTCACTAATAAATGTGTTTTTCTTTTTTGGTAATAAATGGGTATTTTGGCTCGAAATGACTGACTCGAAAATTTTTACGTTATTATGTGGTAAAAAAACTTTTTTAGATCAGTTTTTGAAAAATGTTTTCAAACCGGACATTGTCCTAATTCATCCAAATTTATATGGTCTAGTTGAGAGTTTTGGACCGTTTTGAAACTTCCCAAAATCCTTTGTCCTTTGCTTGCTAGCTTGCTTTTTGGCTTTTGCAATTCTTTTGGCTGATTTTATGCTTTCCTAATGTTTTATTTTTTTAAAAACAAAAATGGAAATTGAATTAATACCACTATTCATTTTGAGAACAAAATTTTTATAATGATGATTTCTTTATTTTCATAGCTTAATTAATTCTTTGTCGTGTCTTTTCTCTAATTACGTGTGTTTTTACTTTAACATAATTATTGAGCCAAGAGAATGGGAGTCAGCCAATTCAATCAAAGCAGTCCAGTCCAATCCCATCATGTCACAGGACAGAAAGAGGAAGGGGGAAAAAACAGTTAAAACAGCAAAAAAAAATTACTCATTAATTAATATCATACTATTCTGATATTCTAAATCTTAACTATCTCTATTTCACACACTTTATCTTTATTTTATGAGAGTATTATTAAAAAAGAATAGGTATCCGTGTAAGTGCAGAAAAACATCCTTAGAAAAGTTACCCTTGACTGAAAATGTTTGAATCTCAACCATTTACGTTTATCCCTATAAAAAATGTATTATTAAAAAAAATAATATTTTAAAATTTAAAATCGGCCATATATTTGGACACAAAATAAAAATTCAAATCGAGACAAGTTAATAAAAAGGGATGACGTATAAATCAGATCCCATTTGGAAATGTGACTAGCCTTTACACTTCCAAATTAACCATACACATATAATTTATATCATAAATAAATAAGACACATATACAACTTACTGAACAAAGACGACACAAAACAGATCCAGCTCAGTGATTCCACTGGAGGACTGGGCAAATACACTTAGATCCACGTCATGAACAAGCAGTTCAATCTCGGAGACAGAAACTATCTGGCTAACACATTATAGTATACATTTGCTGCGTCTTTATCCTCCTTCTGGAGATCGTTGTCTTCCTCTCGTCGAGAAACCTAAACAAGTCATTGTTGATCAGTAAGGTCTCTCTCCGATGTAGTTACCAGGAGGATCATAGTTACAGGTCATGAACACGCCCTTTCCGCCGGAGCAGTTAATCATAGCACACCCCACCCTCGTCGTCGTCTTCCACACCACCTGCGTATAATGCCCGCACATCTGCCCCGCCGCACACGTGTTCGACCCATAATTGTAGTACTTCTTCTCCGACACCCACGCTGCCGCGGCCTGAGCCGGCGACCAGCCGAAGCCGCTGCCCCAGAATATGTTCTCGCCGTAGGGGCCGTTGGAATGCTGGAGGGCGCAGTCTTGCCGCCTCTGGTTGGCGTACCACCGGGCGTAGCGAGCGAGCTTCGGGTCCCACACCAGTGGGCGCATTCTCAGAAGCGATCGGGCCGCATTCTGAGGACCCAGGAACAGCTGCCTGGTTAGGCTGGCTCGTTTCTTGGTGGGGTAGGCTAGAGCCGCCGGCGAGGAGGTGAGGACGAGGAAGAAGAAGGAGACGGTGGCTAAGTAGGCGAGAGAGTGTGTCATTGGGAAGAATTGGAAGGATGGGCACCTGAGAGAGAAGTTGGGAAGTTATTATGAGGAGTGCTTTTACAGGTGAGCCAAGATGACGAGTATTTATAAGGAGAAAGGGTGTGAGGAGTGCGAATAAGTTTTGGCATTTGAAGGATGGTTAAAAAAAAAAAAAAGCAAAAGGGAAAAGAAAGAAGCAAAGGAAAAGCCAGCAAAAAAATATTAAAAAAAAGAGTGTAGGTTTTGGAGTGATTGGGCAGCTGAATTTTTCAAACCTATGAGATGGCATCCATGTTCGATAATGATTGCCACATTTTTTCCTTTTGAGGGGCCCATGCATCTACGGTTTGCCGTTGAATTGCATTTCAAGGATTTCTTAGTTCATCACTATTCAACTACAACCGTATTTGTATTCTCTGTAGTGGAGATGGCGTCCCGCAAGTTCATAAAATTCAACCTAAGTTATATGGGTATGTTATGCTCATCCTTAATTACCTTTTCAAAAGATCCAAACTCTACTCGATCACATGTATTGCATAAAGTTCAATATTAAAAGCCACAATTATTAGAAATTAGAATGATGTGACTTCGAATAACTTGTCTTATATTTCTTATAAGGCATGGATATTAGGTTACAATTTTTTAAAATATTGACTAAGATGTTTAAGCAGCCCCACAGCTGTTAAGTTATAAACTTATATACCAGCCATATAAAATTTTACTAAAAAAACTAATAAATAGTAGTCAAGGAATCAGAGATATGAATGTGATGATGCGTTATTCTGAAGGGTGGCGTCTCTAATTATATACTCAGTTTGGATAGGTCTAACCGTCTAATTGCATGTGAAGATTGGCTAAGAATTATAATAATATCAATATATATAGAATGTGACTTTGAGTTCGTGAGCCTTAAGATGTGGCGGAACATGTGAAATTGTGAATGAAGCAAACTAGTTTTTTCCTTTTTTTAATAAAAGGGAAGAATATATGTTAAGTGTATTATTATGTACATGTGTGAGAGCAAGCTAATTAACACTATAATTAGGAGGCAGGTCCGTATGTCTATATATTATTGCGTGCTTAATTATTTATAGGGCAAGACGGCAAATATTCTCTTCTCTGGTTCATACTTTGATAGACTTTCTCATAGTCATATACTACCTTCGGTCTTATATATAAGAGCTAGTTGACTAATTTGAGAAGATTAAGAAAAGAAGTTAAGTTACTTATTTATAATATATAGATGTTGTCTTTCCTAAAATATTCTTACTAATCAAGTATATTGGCTAGAACTATTATTGTTAAAAGGACTATATATTTTGAAAAAAATGTATAAATATGAGAGACATAGTAGATTAGGGTCTTATATTTAGGATCAAAATAAAAATCAAACAAGGTCTTATATTAAGGACCGGAGGTAGTATTAGACTAATTAATTTTCTTAAGTGGATCATGCCCGTATATCGTTACAAACTAGTACTAAGTACCTGAAATATATTAAGTGATTTATATTAGTTTTTTTAATAATGATAAATGGTTGAGTTAAAGAGATGGAACCATCGCTTCCTAAGAGCAAGAGGACATATCTATATCTGTGACCACTTCCAAAAAAAAAGTCAGAAGAACTTTGTATTAGTTTATAATATAATTACCTAATATCCATTACTAGATTTAAGCATTGTTGCCGAGACTAATTAGCGGTAATTTTTTCAAAGTATCTTTCCTATTTATAGGATTGAAAACTGAGCCCCTGCCGTTTGATCGACCCAATTAATATTATTGATGAAATGATGTTTGTGTAAATAGAAGTAACCTATTCTTACGTTCAAATCCGAAAAGTAAAATGCAAAATTTATATAAAGTAAAGTGAAAAATAGAAATAGAAAAAGAAAAAGGGAAAAAGCAATATGTAATAGGAGGGAAGAGTGGAAGGTAAGGGAAGTTATTTAGTTGGTTTACTTTTGGGAAGGAATAATGATGGCGCCGCCTTCATCACTGGCTGAATCGGCGGAGCCTTAATTCCCGGCTGAGTTCATGGCCCGATAATCAGTAACCGAGCCCTTAACCCGCTCAATCACTCAATTCTCAATCTTTAATATATATTATTATATCATAATCCTCCCTTCATCTCTGATTTGTACAATAACGAAGAATTGACAATACAAATGACATGCGAGTGAATAAGGAAGGTGGAAAAAGAAAAATCACATATTAAGTCCCATGTATTTACTTCTATTAATTGCTTATAAATACTTTGATGTAAGTCAAGAACAAAACATTTTGTATTTCATAAATTATAATTAAAAAACTATTTTTGAAGGCTTCAATTGCTGTTTCAAACAAGCCCGAAATGAATGTCATTTCTTTCTTCTTTTTGGGAATACACAAGGCTATGTTGCATCTTTAACCGAATTCGATTATATGGACTGCTTCTGGAAGCCTGGGATACACACTTTCCTCGTCATCATTGTTGAGTCAAATGCTCAAGCTCGGCCTTTTCATTATATTCCCCGGAGGAAGCAGGTTTTGCAGCAAGATATTAGGTGATTTTCTACTTTATTTGCCTGCTTGTGTTGTTGGTGTGTATGTTGGTTTGTTTTTTAATCTTGCCTCTTCCTTTGCTAATGCTATTTTATTTTATGTCGTAACTGGTATATTTGATATTATGGTCAAAAACAAGGGGCTATGTTGCAAAGACAACAAAAGGGGGATAAAAAAACAGAGTCTATAGGTTGGAACAATTTTTCTTTTACACATGCATGTCAATATCTAAAAGTCTTCTATATCTGATTGGTGAAATATTGAAAACTAATAGATATTGGCATAATCTCCATAACATCATGTTGATGTAAGCTATATCCTTTGCCATGGTAGCTTCCTGGTGCATGAACTTCTCGCCTCATTAATTTCTTGCGCTTCACATTATCCAGTAACTCAATATTCACACACACACACACACACACACAAAGATATATATTGGTCAAGCTAGGGTTGTGTATTAAGTTTCAACCTCAATTTCTAAAATACCAGGCCTCACAAGCAAAGAAAGAAGGGTGATTAGAGACTGAATTAGCTTGACCCAAAAAAGTATATAGTATTCTCCTTCACATGAGTTGTTAACCAATTTAATTTCTTATGATTGAAGATGACATTTTTATTAAGCATGATGAAGCCATACGAAAATGGTGCTTGAATTCCGTAATACATGAACTAAAACATGATTGGTTATCAAGTCAAGATAGAAACACATTCCTTGACTTATGCATCAAAATGCTACGTTAGGCCTCATAAATTATAAAAGTGAAACAATTTATAGGAGGAAGCTCTCTGGTACTATCTTGCTACTCAATTTAAAAATTAGTTTGATATTTAATTTAGTCTTAAATATAATATTTTAATTTATTTTATCTCTAATATTTATTCTTCTTTCTTTAAGTAATCACTATGAAATTGCACATGTTAACAAGTTTTCATAAACAGATAATTTTAATACACATGATTGATAAGAATATTTTAATAAAGACAACATATATTTGTTATAAAAAATTAAATTAAATAATTTTCTTAATATTTATATCTTAATTATTTACTCTTTACTATAAGAGTATTATATTTAGGACCGAAAGAGTAGCTCTTATATTAAGGATCAAATATAGTATTATTATTCCTTTTCCCAATCCTATTTTGTATGACGCGGGTCTCAAAGACCAAGGAGGTGTTTGACTAAGATTAAAACCATGATTTCAGAAGTGCTTTTACGATATACAAAGTAAATATATGAAGGAGTTTGTCTTGATTTAAAAAAAAGTGCTTCTGAAAAATGATTCTGAGATTACCCAAACACCCTCCAAGAAAAATTTAAAAACAAAACTTTCGGTGACAACTATGAAGGGTAGGATTGAACCATGGGCCTGAATTGCTGCAGGCCTGGGAAATAGGGCCTATTGAACATTGTAGAACAGTTAAAGGCCTTGCCCATAAGGCCCTGTTAACCAAAAAAAGAAAAGAAAAGCTTAAAAGGCTCGATTGAATAACATGGGCCCGACAAAATGATCCTAAGTGGTGTGAAACCGCCTTATGACGCGGCGAACTTTTAGGAGCCTTTCTTCGGCCCCCAAAAAAAGAAAAAGGACGTGGTTTATCCTTCGACCATAAATTAACCAAAGAATGTACCCAAAAAAAAAAAAAATTAACCAAAGAAGGGCGGGTTCAGTTTTTCTTTTTGGGTACTTTAGCATAAACTAGCTGTGATTATTTATAACTATTTACTTCTTACTACACAAGAAAGTTAATTTGATTGATGAAATGAAGTAACTTTCTGTCTAGCATAAATTAAAAAAAAAAAGAAGAAGAAAGTTATACAAGCCTCAGTGAATTTTGTTAAAATTATACATATGTTTTTTTCCGAAAAAAGTTATCTTATATACTTGGATTATATTTTAAATTTTTGGTTGCTAAAATATTCTCAGTTAGCTCAGATGCATATTTTGCTTATTGTTTCTTTCTTGATTTTAATTTTAATTTTCTGGTTGCTTAAATTATCTCATATAACTCTCTGTTTATAGGTTATTTCTTGTTTTGTTTCTTTTCTTTGAGTTCTTTTGATTTTTTTTATTGTATTCTTGTTTTTTCATGTGAGTTTTGTGTGACAGGTTGTATCTCTTGGTCTTTCTAAGAGTTTTATTTGGTTTCGGCTACATATTTTGCAGAAAAAATGTTTATTAATTGAAAAAAAAATAAAACTAGCTTGAAATGAATCGTAGTTTTTATTTTAAAATTTTCGTATATTTTAAAAAATATTATCAAATATTGGATAATGATGAAACCAAATTGACGTGTGCGCAAGAGAGAGAGATCTTTAGACTTTACCCAAAAAATTTGTCTTTAAAATCTCTATAGATATATGATATCAAATTTATAAGAAATGAATGAGTTATTGGATTTTCCTCAAAGGTGGTGGCTTTGGGATCTAGACGTCAAACAAACAGATTTCACCAGCCTGGTAAGAGGGGCTTGTTCAGACTCGATCGATGATCTTCTAATCTGTAGCCCACTACTAGACAAGTCTAACTGTTGGTAAAATC